CATTTTTAGGACCATAACCATTTTTAGGACCATACAGCTTTTCTGGGATAAATGTAATTTATTAAATGATCAAATACGAAGAATAAATAATTACATGAGCTGAAACCATCTACATAGTATTATCTTTTTGAATAAAATAGTCTTTTAAAAAGAAATCAGTCTAACAAATAAAACATTTGTATGTTTTAAGTTATTTTGCTCTGTGTGAAAGACAGATATTTGCTGCTTGGACTGGAGAGTGTGGGAAGCTGGTTGAACCAAGGCTGAAGATCCAGAAGACCAAACAGGAGCTGTCCATCTGAAGGACATGTTAGTCTAAAAGACATTTAACCATGAAATGTTCAGTTTGTGGCGTTTATATGACATACACCCAGCCCCTCGAACACTTAGGTAGTTTACAAAATTTATGCAGAGTAAAAGAATAAAATAAAAAACTCAGTGGACTGATTTGGCATGATGTCCTGAGACGTTGCAGCTGATAGGAGTCATAAAACAGAACAGGGGGACGTTAGATGCCCTGACACCATAAATGTGTTAAATGAGTGAAGGAAAATATGAGCACCAAGCAACAACCCTAGGTTCTCCCCTGAGAACCAGACCAAAAATTTTATGTGCAACCCTGTATATAKAGCAGAAACTATTACAGTATCTCTGGTGGGTTTAGTGTTATTGTCAGACTACTCAGTGATGGAATATCTCTGGTCAAAACAGCAGCAGCACGTCTCTGTACCTGAAGCCTCTGTGTTAAAGGGTTAGAGGGATTATCAGCTGCAAGACTTGGGCTGAATAAACTTCACTGCCAGTCATGTAGAGTCTGATTAAGCAGTCAAGGGCCCTACATGATAAAGCAGCAGCTTATTAGCACTGCTTTCTCTGCAGTAAAACAGTTTGTTGTTGTGTTATATGTGAATATTTGTAGTTTTCAAGGTGAGTGTTTTTCTGGACTGGACATGAACAGGACATACACGTAAACCTCAATGTTTTTCGTGGAAGATAGTCAAACGGGTAGGAGTTGAAGGCCCAGCATGGTCGATCAGCGGCTGACCTGTCGTTGCGTGGTCACATGGTAATGGGAGGTTCGTTTTCACACACAACTTCCATAGTCCAATGAGACACACGGCACAAAGCTCCTGGGAAACCCCTCCCACTGCTGTACACATCACAGCACGGGTTTATTTTAGGGATGCACAATGTATTGGCATTAATGTTGGTATCGGCAGATATTGGTTATTTTTTTAGAATATCTGTTTCGGTCCATTATGTAAAACTGGGCCGATATTAACGTCCAATACTGATTTCCAACTTTTTAGATTTGTGTTTCTGTTTTGGGAGGAGAAATGGTTTTGATCATGATAGTGATATTGACGCTGTGCAGCCAGGAATAACTGAAGTGGAGAGCCATGTCAGAGGTCTGGTCATTTATTTACAGTATCAAAAAAAGACCCAAGTTTGTTTGTGTGTATATTATAATTTGTGTGTTTGTGTAATATTGGTAAATATCGGTTATCAGAAATAACAGCAAAAATTCTATCTGATATCRATATCGGCTGAAATTTTCATATCAGTGCACCCCAGTTTATTTCCCCTGGAGTCTTCACTCCGATATTTGCTGTTTGGCCACAAATCTATCACAGAGCAACACACTTTTTGGCAGACGGATTCCTCCACGCACAAAGTCTGTGTGTGGTTTTTAACCGATCGACTATCTTTTTAAGTGTCATGGAAGAGTCACATAGATGGATTTACTGTCTGGCTGCCTCTGACAATCTGCTCCTCAAAACTACCCATGTTTGCAGGTACAACAGCTGACGTATGGAAGTGGAGTATTTACCACCACTGCTGTCCGATAACTTTTAAATATTAAAGAAAAACTTGCCCACAAACTTCTAAACAGTAATTAAACAGTAATTAAACTAAACAATGTTTGTATTTTGAGGAGGGTGGAATGTTAGACCAGAGACTTGTTCCAAGAAAGACTTGGTGACACAAGGCTGAGAACAAAATGGCACGATTTTCATCATGTCATTTAGAGCAGACTTTACAAATTTGAACGAAGTATGCTGGGCCCTTTACACTGTGTATAAGACAGACATAGTTTTTTTTCTTGCTTCAATGAACAGRGGCATGTCTAGGAAAGTCTTTCAGGCTAATCTTTGAAAGTAAGGCCTTCTAAAACCTCTTAATTAATCATTTACCCCACAGAGTAGTTCCTCTTAATAATGTAAATGGATTACGGTACTTAGCATGTTGTTTATTGTTTTGTTCAGAGTGTTTTTCAACTTTTTGAAAATTTTAAATGGAATTTAAAATAGTTCATCATGATTCATTCTCAGTTTTTTACTTATCTGGAAGTAAAGGACGGTGCAGGTCACTGACCATGTTGGTCAGTAGATTTAAAATATCGCTTGTCTGCAGTGATCAGAACAGGAAGCTACAAWAGAGTCTCATTGGGGCGTAAAATATTCTGCCCAACCCAATTTTCGATAGTGGCCTTTAGATGCAGCCACAAACCAAAATGGAAATCAATACTTCACTTATTTTTTGAGTTATTCAGCTCAAGCTAAACTAGATGGACGGATGGGCAAACGGAGGGCAAGTGCCCTGTTCGTGTCCCGACAAGGTATAACTATCTYTGCATGAGTAAAGGATGAAATAAACAATTTGGAACTTTGTCTCATGTTTGGAGCAGTGGTGAGGTAGAGGGACAGTAACAGGGAGAAAACAGAATGGAATGGGTCAATATTCAACATTGTTTTTGTCTAAACTGCCCATCCTTAGTGAATTAGTATAACACCACTGCTATAGAAATGTGTTCCTGTAATCATGTCCTTTATTGACATCAGAGTTCAGGTTCCTTCTAATCATGGGGTAAGTTTCAAAATGAATAACTGTTTTTAATTCGGTGCATCATTTTTTATAAACTGATCTACATTTAATTAACCCAATACTTTGCTAAAACTAAAGCTCTTCCTTATTGCTCAATGATGTAATTGTACTTTTATTTGAAGCTGAAGTACCATCATCTTGTAAAAAAAGAGACTAAAATCCAAAATTGATTTCTCTGTACATCTTTCATCAGCCAGCATTAAACCAGGTGCTTTCACAGCTGCAGGACAACAAACTTGTAAATGAACAGGAAGGAGCCAGGCAAGCTCCTGATTATTGCTTCATAGGGAGACATCCTGGATCTGTGCCCTTAATACAGAGAAACTCTTTGGTATTCATGAAGAACTGAATTCATGTTTTCTTGAACGTGTTGATTGCAGTTGTAGGTTTGCACTAATCCTTAACACGAATGTTACAGTAATTTTGAACCTATACAACTATTTCTTTCAGTGCAAAATGGTTAAAAAGCAAATGGCCTCAATGATTCTTAGAAACAAGAATAAGGTTTTAATTTGTTATGRATTTTCTTTAATCCACTGGTCAAAAGTATACATCCAGGTTAAAATAAATACATATGATGACCTTAAACATTTGTGTCCACTGAAAGGTTTGACATCACTGTGGACTGAGAGGGTGCCAACCACAGAAGAAACCAAATGCCTTCTGGAAAAAGGGTTAATGTTCAGACAAGTTAGATTGAGCCATTTGGCCACAGTGACGTGTATACCGTATGTGGAGAGAAGTCAAACTGAGGCTTTTAAATCTAAGAAGACTACTTACTACCAAAGTGGTTCCTGAGCATATATATTAATATGGTGGTTATTTACTTCCTGAATAAATAACCATATGAATGTTACAATTTGCGATACAATTGCTGTGAAAAAAGATTAGTTATTAGTTATTTGAGCACTAAGATGGTGCCTTTGTTCCCTCCAACAGGTCGAGGTTGTGTCTCGTGAAAACTGTCTGAATAAAATCAGAAATGTACACCTCCAGCACTCACCTCCGCATGAAACTAGAGTATTTTAAATTTTTACTGGGTAAAATAGAACAGACAAGTCTGCAACTTCCTGATTTTAGGTAATAATTCTGCAATAATACTCCAGGTTAACAAAGTTAATTGTGGGAAAGAAGTTTTTTTGATTTGAATCTAAAAAAATATAAAAGTAAAATAATTATACTATATTCATCTACTCTAAAGTGTGGTTTTAACCCTAATCCAAGGCTGTGGTCTTATTTACAAGACCATCGCTTTGACTACTGACCAACTGCAGCCACGCACAATTTAAAGTCACAGAACTGGCTAAATAAGATCCTTCCATCTTAGCAAAGATATCCTGTCTTTTTATCTACTCTCTGCCCTCGGTTTTCTGTGCTCTGTTTGGGTCAGCTCTGTCTGCTCCTGATTTTTAAAACTGAAAACTGAACTGATTTTTAAACAGAATATTTCCTCTGGTGGACACAGCGAGCTTTGCTGCAGCTATGCCTGAATTTGATGAGGTCACATGAGCCCTATAGTTTTAGTTGTGATCATATTGTTGTGTTAAAACCAACAGAATGTGTCCACAGGACAGAATATTTTATGACCCAGTGAGACTCTCTTTAGAGCTAACTCTTTAGATCATTGCCAACAGTATGAAAAATATGATAAATCCACTCACAAATGCAAGACATTGACCTGTACCGCCCCATTACTGTAAAAATTTTCAAAACTGACAATGAATCTATAAAAAATGTTTTCAATTCCATTTAAAATGGTCAAAATAGTTAAAAAACACAGCAAGCTAAGTAAATAAGGAATTTGCATTATTATAAGGAGGAACTACTTTGTGGGCAAATTATTTTTTAGGTCAGGTATCATCCCACCTACCYTTACAGAGAAAACACGCCTGACTAATGGTCAAGCATGGTGGTAGAAACATCATGTTGAAGGAAATTTTGTAACTGATTAATTGAACATTAGATTCAGTATTGTATTTTTTACTTTCTGATCATTGCAGCTTTAAGGCCATAACAGAATAAGAGTTGGTGTGTGTCTAATCATGTGTTCTTTCCTTAGCCTAAACAAAAATGAGTTACCTTCTGACGTCTGATGTAAAAGGTAACACCTCCTGGGGTGTAACCAGGAAGAAAGATACATCATGAGCTAAATTCATTATTATAGTAAAAGGAAGTTGTCAGTGTGTTTAAGAGTCTCTGCTCAGAGCAGAGCTGCTCTGTTTTGTTTGGGGTTTCTTGATATGAGCCCACGGTCTTACTGAGGCCTGTGTGCTGAGTGCTGTTCTGTGAACCTGATTGGAGTCAGAAGATTGGAAAATAAAGTTTTAAGAAGAAATCCAGCTGAGTTTATTCGGACATACCATTTTGAGCAATGCATATTTTTCCTACAATGTTATGGAACTGAAGTGTTGCACAAAGTGGATGGAACGATAAAAAACGGGTCTACCTACCAACAGCTGGTTGAATGCTGGGCACAATTTTGTGTTCCTGAATTTGACTGAACCTGTTTTTCCTCTTCTAGATGAGAAAGATAACTATCTGTGACTAACATATTCATTGACACCAGACCTRGTACCAATGATAGTTAGGTTGGAATACATGTACCATTACACTCTGTCATATAGTAAAACTTTAAAGACAGTACAGTTTTATATGTTATAACAATGTAATGCACTTACATTTAGCTAGGAATTTCTGTTACTTAATGATACAATTTTATTGCAAAATGTGTTTACACAGTGTGATTTTCAGGCAATCGGATTTTCTTACCATCTTCTGCCTCAAGTAAATCTGCCTGTCCCTCTGCCTCCTCGTCTTCACTCCTCTCCTCCATATGAGCCGAAGCATGGATGAACTTTCCAGGCATTGGGTCCCTGTTTCTGGGTAGACTCTGGCTGCGCTGCTTGTGGGAGCGTCGGTGTGTGTGGCTGTGTGTGTACGGGCCTCGCTCCAGGGGAAAGGGCCCGTCCCGCTCCCTGTCCCTCTCTGCCGCGTGGTGTCTCCGTACGGGCAGCGTAGCTTGCCAGCGTCTTTCTGGGGATATCCCCTGCCTACCCAGCCCTCCGTAAAACCCCATCTCTCCAGCCATGCCGCCCATTGGGCTACCGTAGTCGCTGTCGCCCGGCGCTGTCTGGAGGAAGTGCAGCCCGGCGCTGGTCAGCGGGGTCTCAATGAGGTCCTGCCAGGAGCGGCGCTCGCGATGAGAGGATCGGCAGCCCGACGAGTGCGTGCTGGTGCTGCCTGTCCCCATGCCCATGCCGTCCCCACGTTGGTCCTCTGCTGACGAATGGGAGTGCGTGGACTCGCTCGAGAAATGTCGGCCGTGTTTGGACTCCGGGAAAGGACTGGAAGAGTTCACCTGGAGAGGGAGAGGGGAGGTGGAAGACACCATCTGTGGAGGGATGGGGGAGGTAGAGGCACTCTTAGGAAGTGGGGATGGAGTGGAACGCATGAGGCTCATGGAGCTGACTGAGCGAGGCAACTGGTCATAACTGTGGAGGAGGTTGGCCTAAGTGGGACACCAGATGTGTGATGGGCAGTGTGGATCGGTACAGATGAGAGTGAGCGGGGGGGAGTGAAGTTGCCAGAGATGGCATACAGAAAACAGCAAGACGAGCAAATTGAGGTGTGGCAGGACAAGGGACGTGCCAGACATGAGGGTAAAGGACAGAAATACATTGAAATATGAGAGCAAAAGAAAAGAAATGACATGGCAGAAGAGTAACTCCAAGAACAGCTGACATGGCTGCTGAATGGTTTAACTTGGGTTATCATGGTAATGGGGCTGTCCAGACCAGAATATACATGTCTGAACATCCATAGAGTAAGAGTAAAAATGTTTTTAAAAAGGCAGCGTTGCTGAGATCATCTGAGATCAGACAGGGTAAAAGTTCTGGCAGCAGAACACAGAAATGCAATGGTCTTGGCTGCAAACAGAACCACTGATGTTTTATTGATGCTGAGAGCTTTGGTCTACGCAGCTCTGAAAACTGTGGGTCATGAATAGGTTTTACTTACCGAAGGTGTGCGATGGTAAGTATCACAGAGAGATGAAGGTCCTTCCTGCTTAAGTGTCATTGATCCATCGACCTCATCTTGATCACTCTCACTCCAGTAGTCTGATATGAAGACGAACACAAACAAACATGTGGATTTCCAAAGGTAATAGGTTAAGTGAACAATTTTCAGAAAAGGCACTGCATCGCACCTTCATCGGGGCGTGGCACCTTATCATCTGGAGTGTAGCCGATGGCAGCTAAACCCAGTCGGTTCATCCACCTGCAGGGAGCAAGTGTTAAATCATGGAAACAAAGAGAAACCAAGATAAATGGCAAGAACAGCAAAGTTAGCAAAGCAAAAAAGGAGAATGGTAAAAAAACGTCAATGTAAAGAAAACTGTAAATTCAAATGAATAAAGTTTAATAATTTTGTCACGCTGACTTCCTTGTCCTTGTAAAAAACATCAACATTAATAAAGAGCTAAGCTCTGTTAGGCTAACTGCAATTGGTTTACAGGTTGGTAAAGCAAAGAAACATCGAAAACATGCAAGATAATGACACTTGACTACAGGACTGAACAGCATTGCTGGAAACAAGGTCACAAGCAACAAGAGAAGCCCTGTTCTACTGCAACGAACAAGAAACTCATTACAGCTTTTAAAGGCAGTGATTTTCAATCATTGTGCCATGACACAGTGGTGCCAGGCCATGACTTCACTGGTTAAATAAAATGGTCAAAGGAAACAAAATGGCATTGTTGAGCATTTGTGTCTGCAATGTATAATTAAAGCCATGTTCCTTGTCAGCAGGTGGCAGTAGGTGGCCCAATAATGACCTTGTTAGTTTATGACAGAAGGGATGCACGTGACGTGTGGGAGAAATTGCGATGACAAGTCGTAGCTACAGCTGCGATGGATAAATATTTGAGGAAGAATTTTTCGGACTCTTCACTGGATCTTGGACAAAACTCTAACCCAGCGGAAGAGCCCAAGGTGAGCTTAAGGCAATACAACAAAACTTCTCTTTTCTTTAGGTTTATTTCTTAACAGCCAGAACCCATTATACTTCACGTGTGGGGAAAAGCTCTCCAAAAGTAACGTGGTCACATACAAGCTTAAACAATACTTTCAAATGAAACACCCATCTCTTTAAAACAAAACCATGAACTAGTTGGTTTCAACCATTTTTGCCTTTCTTCAGTTGCTGCTAGGAAATCAGCCTTGGGTTAATTGAAGAAAGCCCAGTTTGCACACTGAGTAAAACAGATGTGGGCCAGATCTGGTATCAAGCTGGCACTAAAGATTGATTGCTGGCATGGCAACTGTTCTGTCAGCCACATGTGGGCCAAATCGGTTAATAATGGCACTAATTTTAAGATGGCATGCATGGACCATGGACCACCTCAGGTAAACCCCATCTGGGCCACCAAAGGACCACTATTGTTTGCAGCATCTGGACCGACTGTTTTTACTATGTGTGTACAATGAGTAATTTTGGAAATATTTTTGATTGGTGTTGGGTTGCAGAACTTTGAAGCATGAAATATATACTGTATATGTTCTGTGGCTCAAGAAATGATGAAAAACACTGCTTTAAGGAAGCGTCTTCTATACTTTAGGAGGTCTATTTTTAATAAACTTATTTAACATAAACCTTAGAGTGCCTGTGACATGCATATTCTTCAAATACAAAAAGTCAAAGAAAACATCTTTATATTTAAGGAAGTTGAAATAATACACACAATTTAACCCATTTTGTCCCATAACTGTTATATTTTCTTTTGAACTTGGCTCAGCCAAAGTGAAACAGGAAGTGACACCAAAAGGGGTACTCTTTAAAAAAAGAAAACTCTCTGGTCTTTATTTATTTGAACTCTGACTCTTCTTCATCTCTCTCTGATAGTGACTCAAAATAATATTAAGAAACATCAGATTCTTCTCTACAGTCTGTGCTGTTGGCTGTTGTAGCAATACTCTGTTCACATGCAGACATTCCCCTTCCTGTTACTTCACAGGCAAATATCTCAACAACTGTTCATCTCAGCAACATGAAATTTCTTTTGCAATATTTTTTATCAATGTCCTCTTTATAAAAATGCATTCATATTTTAAAGGGATCCATGATTAGCTGTAACATTAGACTTTATTTGATAAACATACTGTATATTGTAACTGTAAAATAAAGACTGTAAAAATACTGTAGGTTGTTTAGTTTTATAATTTTAAACTAAAAGTTTAAAAATATATTACATGGATGGGGTCATTTTATTTACACTCAAAGTATTCTGGGTAAATGATAAGGTGGATAGGTCCTCGGTGTGAGGCTGCTAGCAAGCTATATCCACCCTGAAGGTTAATCTTGGACAATTTCTGACGATTGGCTCTTTTAAATGAAACCAGAGAGTGTTGACAGACTTAGTACAACAGAGCTGCTTCATGGAAGAAGAACCTCAGCTTAGCCTGTTAGTTTTAGCGTTAGCCACAACGCTATCACCATATTTATGAATTAGCTCAGCGCTACACATTCTCTTCTCGTCACTGAGGTCCTCCATCCACGAGACAGAGAGGGGAATGTAAAAATGACTCAGCCTGCAACTGAAAATGTGGATGGAGGACCTCAGTTTAGCTTGTTTGTCGCACTAGCACTGAGCTAATAAATATATGGCAATATAGTGTCGGCTCTAGCGCGAAGTCTAACAGGCTAAGGCCTGCGTCACACGGAAAGATAATCATGCCGACTTTTGCCATTCCGACAATCTTAAGGAAGTACAGATTATCGTGATGGCTCTAAAGATAATCATAGCAGATATTCCTGCCGTGTTAAGAGTGATAGTCGGCTCGGTAGGATGTCGGGACCGCTCCGACCTCAAATCGGGGATATTCAACATGTTTGATTTTTTCGCTCGATATCACAGCATGTGTGGCGTTCACCCGAGCTCTCAGCCGGTTGAACGAGACGTGTAGCCAATCAGAAAGCGAGGTGAAATAAACACGAAGGGGATTCCAAAATACAAGAGACAAAAAAAAAAAACAACTGTCATGACTCACCAGAAAGTCCACTGGATTATATTAAAAGTCCTATGGAACTGTTTTTCCTCAGGTAAAAATAGTCCACAAACGATCAACATTGTTTATTTACTCTGAGCTCATGTCTCTCTGGAGGTCACGTGAGATTTTTCGGGGCAGCTGTGGCAGAGTGGTTAGGGGAGTCGTCCTGGAACCGGAAGGTCACCAGTTGATCCCCCGTCCAGCTGTCTCAGTTGTTGTGTCCTTGGGCAAGATACTTCACCCCTAATGCCTCTGATGTGTGTCCCATCAGTGTATGAATGTGATTGGCACTGATTAGTCTCCATCGATGATTGTATATGTTAGCTTTGTAGGAGATCTAGTAGAGTGCTCTGTGAATGGGTAAATGAGGACACAGTTTGGTGTGAACCGCTTTGAGTATCCTGGTTGGGTAGAAAGGTGCTATACAAGTACAGTCCATTAACCATTTTTCCTCTGACATCTGAATCTTCATGAATGAAATATCTTTTCGTGTGTGGTGTGTTGTCTTCTTGCCGTGAGGCTGTACACCACACACCGTAGGACCAAACCTGGTATATCCATGATTTTTTTTATTCTCATGTGGGCTCTCTCAGTCTTTGAAAATCGTCCGACTGCTTTAAAATCTTGTAGTGTGACACAGCCTTAAGCTGAGGTTCTTCTTCCATGAAGCAGCTCTGTTGTCCTCATCCACATTTTCAGTTGTAGACTGAATCATTTCTACCTTCTCCTCTCTGTCAACGCTTTCTAGTTTCATTTAAGAGTCGATCGTCAGATATTGTCCAAGATTAATGGTCAGGGTGGATAGAGCTCGCTCACACCGAGGACCTATCCACGTCATCATTTACCCAGAATGCTTTGCGTGTAAATAAAATGGCTCCATCTGTGTTAAAATATATTTTTAAAAAATTACAAAACTAAACATCCTACAGTATTTTTACAGTCTTTATTTTACAGTTAAAATAAATGTTTATCAAATAAAGTAATGTTACAACGAATCCTGGATCTCTTTAATACAAAAATTTGACGTTACAGGCACTTTAAAAGACCAAAACACGCCTCTTAGTGAGGTGGCTAATAGGTATGGGCCAGTATTTTGTTGACTTTCCTAAACCTAACCAAGAGTTGTTGGCTATTCTTTGTTCAGGAAAAATTGTGACATTAAGACTGTATTACAAAAGCACTTTTTCATTTCAAATCCAATGACATAAAATGCAAATAAAACTATTTATAAGTCTTAAGGTGTATTCTCCCACCACTTTCTGAAAAGATGTAGAAATAGATGCTTACTTTACGCATTGAAATGTAATGTTGAAGTGCAATAAAATGTGACCCGCAAGGGTTCTGACCCATCTGCTTATTTCCATAATAATAACTTCAGATGGAAGCAGGCATGTTAGGAATTCAGAAACATCTCTGGTGTTTTTGACCCCAGGAGGGCCACTCTCGCTTTGCTTTTACTGTAAACCCCTCAAAAAGTCGTGATGACACTGAAACAACACCCCTCTTTTACACCTCCATCCCATCTTTTTTCACACATCGAGCGTGTGTAAATGCGTGCGGCCGCACTTTCCACACGTGAACCAACAAACACAGAACAGCAGTCAAACAGGGCTGGTTAATTACTACCCCTCTAATTATCTCCACATGTCGTTCAGGAGAGGTGTGGATAATTAGAGCTCATCAGATAGCACTTCTGCAAATATCACTACAATCTCCCTCTCACACAGGCACACACATGACCCACACCAACTCACACACACATTACCCTACATTCATTAGCAGAGAACCAGGATCATGCCTTATTCATGCATAGCATCGTCTCGGTGGGAATTTGCCTCGTGTAAACTTGGTTTTCACGGCGAAAACACTCACGCAAAGACACGTGACAGCTGTAGTGTCAGACGATTGTTTATAACCAGGCTCGCAGCAGCACTCACCTGTTCATTTCCTCGAGACAATCTGTGGCGAAGAAGAAGCTCTTGATTTTGGGATGACATGCTTTGAAGGCACTGCAGTCAGACAGGGAGACTGATTAGCGTTTCTGTGTTTGCATGGTAGGCCCCATGTGTGTGCGTGCGCTCACGTTGTGTGGGAGAGAGAGCAAATGTGCGTGATTAGTAATTCTGGCGACATGTGATGGAGACTCACAATTTCCGCCTGCACTCTATGGCGCGGTCTATTCTGAACTCGGGGAGGCTGATGAAGCCCTCAGCCTTCTCATCCTGCAGGCAGAGGCAGATGGAGAGTACATCATCAATACGCAGAACAAAATGTCAGCCATACTGATCCCCCAGTTTTATCTGGGTTAGTAATAGTCCAGTCAAGCATATGAAAACAAGATATGTTGTTTACATTGGCAGAGATAGGGTTCAAGCTACGCACAGAACAAGGAAAAAAACAGCAGAGCTCTGGCTCCTCTACAAACTAATGCAAATAATTTATGGGTCTAAATAGATTTACTGTTAGCACTTTTAACTATGTTGAATCATTTTTCACATTTTCAAAGTTTTGCAGTATAAAAAATATTAATAAATTACGCTTGTACTATTGAATTATGCAACAAAAGTCAGGCAACAAAGTACAGTAAATGATTGGCTGTATGTGCTTGTTTGTTAGCAAAATATCTTATGAACATGTGAATGGATCTTGATAGAACTCTCTGAAAGTAATCACCACTTCTTAGTCATTTGATATTGTGATCCACTGTAGCAACAGCCAAAGTATTTTATGCTTGTCGCATGAATTCTGAAAACGTACTTTTTAAGCTCAAGTGTTTATTATACACTGATCACTGCAATTAGCTGTGACTAGTAGAGTATGCAAACATGCAATTTATATTTTGAAAAAGTTATTTGCAAATTCATCAAATAGTTAAAGTAATTATTATTCAACTACCTAGAAAGTCCAAGTGACTGACTGACTTCTGATCTAGTTTAGATCATTAGTTATAAACTATATATTTTCCATACATTATGTATCATCTAGCTGTTGTACAAGATTTTTAAATGAAATTAACATTCAATCATAGTATTTATTGTAAAAAAAATTACAAATAATTGTTGGGCTTGCTGATAAATATATGTCTTGTCAGCTGTGAGCTGTTGCCATCTTTGCTCCTCCACGATATCATAGCTTCCATCAGTGGACTGCAGAACTCCATCTAGCTGTATTATTTAACTCTATGGTAATCACCTACATCTGATTAACTTTTGCAGTCAACTTCATTCATGGCCACCGAAGCTAATTGATTAATTGATATTAGCAAAAATAAAAATGATTATATTAAAGTCACATGCTGAAGTTGAAATTTGGCTTGGTAGTGTAGCGAGAGTCATCCCTAATAGATTGCATTAATATTTTCTTTAACTGCTGGGGGCGGAGGGGTGCTGATGGAGTCAGCCTTGTCTTTCTGGTAACAAAATAATTCCCATGGACCACTGCTGCATACAGTAACTCCAGTAGTTTTTCTATCCATCTTGCCTTTTTTTTAGAGTTTAAGCTAAAATTTGATGTGGTAGATGAGACTTGAACAACACTAGACTGGAACCAGCCTATTCTGTCCTGTTCAGTCATCCTCATCCATAACACACACAGCTTTTTGACCTTTTTTAAAAACATTAAATAGCTGATATACAATCTAATACATTAAAAGTAATTTTATTAATATTATTAATAGTTTTTATGATTCCTACATTGTCAGTCCTTTTCTTTCTCTATGTTGTCAAAATGTACAGTAATGGTAAATCCAGACTCATTCTGCTTAGTCCCGTAGATTCTGCAGTAGATCACATGTGGTCTAGACCAGCGGTTCCCAAACTTTTTATCTTCTGCCCCACAAAATATCCATGGCAAAAACTTGTGACCCCAAATATTACTGGTCTGAGTACACAAACTTTGTTAATAACCCTAAAAACACAGGCTTTTTGACAATCTAAACAGGTTGTACACAAATGTGAATACTTTTTATTCTTACTTTTGTGTTTTTGTAATAATTAAAGGGACAATATTACATTAGCAATTATTTTATTGCCCTTTAAATTGATTTCTGGTGATTATCCAAGGTGCTTCATGACCCATAATTGGGTCCCAAGCCCAACTTGAGGAACCAAAGTGGTTCCCAAACTTTTCAGCTTTTGACCCAAAAAATAACAGTAGCAGAGACCTGTGCCCCCAGCTATTTTTGGATGATAAACATTTGTATCAGGTCAACAAAACATGGGCATAGTAACAATATTTTTATACTACATTTATCCATTTTAAATAYACTAACCTCACTCCTTTGTAACAWCTAAGGCAAAMATGTAATTAATTCAGAAAATCTTTTCAGGACCCCACCTTGATGTTTCGGGACCCCACTTTGGGTCCCGACCCCAACTTTGGGAAACACTGGTCTAGACTCACTCCAGCTATCCTTTAGAACCTCCTTGTAGCCAAATTACTCTTAACATACTGCACTAGATGATCATGCAAGATCTGTTGAGATCTATATTTTTCAGGTTCGTTTTGGTAGGCTTTCATGTTGATAATTAGCTTTATTCTTTTTTGATTATTGTTTTTTTTATGTGGTTCCTTAGTCTTTTAAGGTTTGAATTTAAAAATATTCAATAATATGGTTTCATACATTCAGGATCAAATCAAGAAATAAATGAACACAGTGGAATGACAAGATATCATAAAGTTGTTTAGAGTCTTTGTGTTTGTATATCCCTGTTAGCAAAATATGTCATGAACAATGTACAAATTTTCCTTTAAAAAGGAATTATTGGATGCAAATCAAAATTTTAGATTCAGCCTAAAGATGGATGCCATTTCCAACCAACATTAAAGAAAACAAAAATGACTAAATCAGTCAGATTCACAGATAATGAGCTGATTTTGGTGTAGTAGTAGCTTAGCATCATCCCCAACACTCACTAATAAATCTTACTGCATTTTTTTTCCAAAACTGCTATTAGTTTTATTTTTTCTCATTTTAAACACTGATATCTTACTTTTGTGCATTACCTTTAGCAATTCATATATTCTGAGAATCATACAATACAACTGAGAAACAAGATTTCTGAATGTAGTGGCTTACATTTTGGTTGGTGTACCAGTAGAGGCAGGATTCTTTGAGGATGAACCAGTACTTCCTCCATTTTTGGGTGAAATAGCCTTTAGCATCTTTCTTCTTCCACAGCCAGCCCTCACAGTCACCGTGACCCAGGTCCTTACAGGAGATTCTCCTCCGACTGGCACTGGTTAGGGAACCTGGAGAAGGACGAGACAAAAAAAATTAAAAAATAAAAAATTAAAGTGTCACTTCTGAAAGTGGATTTTTAGCACACACTCAATCCTTCATATTATTCCGAGCACATTACACTGGAGACAGTGACAAATTAAGACTACCCAAAAAAGCAAATAATTAATTACAGTGAGTCAAATAGAGGACAAAAATGGAGCAGGAATGCAGCACTCACTGTCACAGGTGTGTGTGTGCGTGCGTGCGTGCGTGCGTGTGTGTGTTATCTATTTTTAAAAATACAGTAAATCTGGAACTTCCAAATATATAAAACCCAGCTGATGTCAGAGCTGATGTCCTTTTGGTAATAATTCAAGTCTTATCTTTAACCATCGACTTGCCACTGTGACAGTTTCAAGGTGACAGACTAGAAAGGCAGCGTCTGCTAACAAACAGTGTCACATACTATGTCTGTAATGACTTTAATTAAAACAAACAAGATAATACAAATTAATACTTACCTTTACTTCTCTTTTTGGTTTTTGCTCTTAGAGATGTGTAATGGAAAGACTAGAGAAAAGAGAAGAAACATCTTAACTTGGCTCATATGAGATCTGCTTTACCAAAGACAGGAAGGATATTTCTTTTACATTTCAGCTGCTTAACAAAAAAGTTCAGATGCCAAAGGAACGGAACTATTTTACAAGTGGATTTCTGTGAAAATGTTACATAAACAACATCTGTCTTTGCTAACTCAGTTCCAATGTTGCCAGGTTGGGCAGGTAGTTCAAATTTGGGCTGCTTTTTACCACATTTGGCAGGTTTTTTTGAAAGTATTCATAAGGAAATTATATCAAAATATCAAGTGTCACTATGAAATGGTATTGGTTATTATCAACTGTAAAACCAAGCAAAAGAGAGGAGACTGGGTTTCTGATCACCTGAGGACCTACCCTCCTTCTGCCAAACAATCTGAGGGCTATTAGTTGATTTTTCTTATGCATATGCTTGCAGATAGACCTTCACCCACCCCTGTTTCTTTACAAGTTTTTATTCTAAAGATGAGTGTCACTCTCTCTAACACTGTCTTTTCAGAGGTACAAAAAATCTAAATACTGAGTCAATACAGATGTGTGCTAATGGCGTATTCTTTATTAGTAATATAT